CTCCTCAGCCTCCCCCGTTGTCTTCTGTTCTCCTTCTTCGGTCTTGTTCTCGTCCATAATGCGTCCTTCCTTCTCCGCCGCATCAATGGCAGCAGAAAAAGTGACAGTATGGGCTGGGGGCGATAGGTCCTCGTCAACTTTCTTTGTGGAGGGATCAGAGTCGGCCTGCATTTTTTCATCCTTAATCGGCACCTGCTCCTCTAATTCACTCTCTGCTCCCTCCGCATCCTCAAACTCTTCTCCCATAGTTTCTCCCTCACTATAATCACCTTCGTCCGTAAAATCATCTTCATAGTCGTCCGCTTCTTCTTCTTCCTCCTCCCCTTCCTCGGACACACTTGATCTTCGACGTAGGCGTCCTACGTGGATGTCCTCATCGTCGTCAGAAAGGGAATCCTCATCAGGTCCATCAACATTTTCTTCGACGGAGCGGGATGGGGAACCTTCATCGCTTGTTACTTTAGCCGCGCTCTTGTCCTTGACTTCGGGCAGTGTCTTCTGGGGAGGGGAATCCATCGCAGCGTCCTCGCGTACGGCAGTCCCGTCAGATTGGGGCTCAGACTGAGATTTGGTAGGTGAATTTGGTTGACTATTGCTCCCAACTACCTCGGAGACATTGTTGGCGTCTCCAGACTCTGCGTCGGCCTGAGGCGCCCCCGATTCGGCCGAAACGTCCGCCGAGTCACCTGCAGCTTCCTTGCACTCGGTTTCTGCAGGGGACGTGGTGGGAGATATGGGCTCCTTGGAGTCCGAATTAGGCAACTTTCGTGGAGTAACCGCTTCGTTCTGGGCTGTAGCCTCCTGGTCCTTGTCACCCCTTTCTGCTTCATTCGTGGAGTCGTTGCATGCGGCATTGGCGCTTTCACAATCGTCTGGCTGTACTTTGTCGGGCTGTGGAGTAACAGCGTTGCCAGCGTCTTTGTTTGAATCCACGCAAGCTGAGGGTTCGCCTTCGACAGAATTTTTGGATGTGGACTCAGTTGGTGGCTGGACCTTGTTGTCGGAGGTAATCATGCTTCTTTTGGAAAGAAATGCTGGTGATGCTGGATAATCCTGATGCTAAAATGAAGAAGGAACTATTAAGACACGCCACTGTTACCACTAAATACAAGTTTTATCCTACATTTAGTAAGAATAGAGTAAGCTATGACACCTGTGTTAGAAGGAAACAAGAGTGACAAAGTGAGTTGGAAAAAAGGGTCCCGGAGGCATGCGCACAGAAGAGAATAGAACCATTTTGTGAGTAGATGTGGCGCTAGACATACGCGGGCGCTACGGATGACACCTTATAAAATCCCCGAAAATGCACATGGACATTCTGTCTGCATCAGGAAAGCCATATGGGCCACCGGTGGCTTTAGGTCTTGCCCTTCATATATGGGATAACAGGCTGCTAATGACCTCGATTTAGCTAGTGCCCGCAACTGCACGACTGCAAAGATAAGAATTATCACAAGACGATGGCCGTCTGCTGGTGTGAAAGTAGGCTAGAGGGTACATAAACAGGTAGCGGGTAGAGAAGGACGAAGTAAGCGAACTCACCAGTCTGGGAAAAGAAAACTGGCTTAGATCTGCAGTGCGGCGTTCAACCTCTAGCGGCCGCTTGCACGTACGCACCAGTGCCCCCTACTTCGTTCTGGCTAATCATCTCTCTGAGGCTGATTCCCACATGACCGTGCTGTAGAAGTTGTGACGACTTCCGTGCTCTCGCACTTCGGATTCCATCCCTCTCGGGTGCGGACACAATCTCGTCTGACTGTCAATGTCCTCCAACCTAGTCTCCGTTA